AAGGATAATGAGATATTTGGGTTATTCTATACCACAGAGGGAAGCTAAGGATAATGAGATATTTGAGTTATTCTATACCACAGAGGGAAGCTAAGGATAATGAGATATTTGAGTTATTCTATACCACAGAGGGAAGCTAAGTTATGCCGATTATTTGTAACCGTTGGAAGTAATAATATATCATAAATATATCATCTAAGAAGATTCAATATGAGGGCGATAAATGACAAAAACGGAAAGCTGATGACAGAAGCAGAGGACATCAGTAAGCGATGGACAGAATATTCAAAAGAGCTATTTACAAGAACAGAAAACTATGATCAACATGTGCTGCAAGAATTACGAGAAAGAACTGGAGAATATATGCATGAGGGCAACGATGACATGCTAGAGGAAGAAGTTGATCCTTGCACTGAAGAATAACAAGTCATCTGGCTAAGATGAGATCCTTGCAGAATTAATCAAAGCTGGAGGTCCCAAGGTAATGAAGGAAATTCATGCACTGTGCAATCGAATATGGAAGGAAGGAAGATGGCCAACAGACTGGGCCAGATCTGTATTGGTGATGATACCAAAGAAGGGCTGCCTGAGGGATTGTTCAAACTACAGATCTATATCCCTGATACCTCACATGTGCAAGATCATGTTGAACGTACTTCTTGGGAGATTACGATCTGTCTTAGAGGAACAGTTGAGTGAAGAGCAGGGCGGCTTCAGAAAAGACAGAAGCACCATACAACAAATTCTGACCCTAAGACTACTTGCAGAAGAGGTGACGGAAAGGCAGGGGAATCTATACAACTGCTTTGTGGATTTCCAGAAGGCGTTCGACTCAATGTGGCATGAGGGATTGTGGGCGACGCTTGAAAACATGATGGTACCTGACAGGCTGGTCCGAACAGTGAAATGTCTTTACGAGAGTTCTGAAGTAGCTGTTCAGTCAGGCAGAAAAATCGGTGAGTGCAGACAAGGAGACCCACTGTCGCCGTTGCTCTTTACTGCACTCCTTGAGAAAGTGATGGAAAAAATGGAATGTTCGGAACGTAGTGGCATAAAGATACAAGGGCAAGTTGTCAAAGATCTAAGATTTGCAGATTACATTGACCTCATCGCAAAAGATGAAAGCGATCTACAATATCAACTGGACAGTGTCTGTCATGAAAGCAAACGGTATGGTCTAAAAGTTAATAGAACAAAGACAAAAGTCATGGCCATGGGCAGAGAAAGAACTGTCACTGATATCAAGACTGATGGAGAAAGCTTAGAAAATGTGGACCAATTTGTGTACCTTGGTAGTCTTATCACATACGACAATGACTGCACCAAAGAAATACAAAGAAGAATTGGAATTGCAACAGGCATGTTTGAAAACCTGAAGAATGTTTGGAAGAGCAGGAATATTACAATGGCCACCAAG